TATAGCTCGCAGAACCGATAACCGATGGGGAAGAAAGGTTCTCGAGTGGCAGCATCGTACCAGTAGGCGTAGTGTAGGGCGAACCCCACTAGATAGAGTGACAACCTGGTAAGATATGCAGGAAGTCGATGTATGCATGTGGCTCAGGACCGTGCTTTGTGGCATTACTTGCGGGAGGCCTTTGTTCAGCAGTGGACTTGTGAAGGGCTGTAATGATGATGATGATGAGTTAGAATGGCTAGAAATTGATGAAATGAATTTGGTCCAGACGTTCTGACGTCAGAATGACTGACCACTTTCTTCTCTCACGGTATTTAACAAGGTACCAATAATTATTTTATTTTAGGTACCAAATACCGTGGTAGCTCAGATGGTTAACGCTCGCCGTAAATTCTACAGTACGCGAGCTACCCGTGTTGGTGGAGACCAAGTGTTGATTTACCACGTGCTCGGCCGTGAATAAAAACTTCGTGCGGAAACCGACAAGTCTGAGAAATAAGAAAAAAAAATAATTCGAAGACATTTGAAGTTCGTGTTGGCGAGACTTTGGAGCAGCGCGGCGGACATGTAAATTCTACAGTACGCGAGCTACCCGTGTTGGTGGAGACCAAGTGTTGATTTACACGTGCTCGGCCGTGAATAAAAACTTCGTGCGGAAACCGACAAGTCTAGAAATAAGAAAAAAAAAATAATTCGAAGACATTTGAAGTTCGTGTTGGCGAGACTTTGGAGCAGCGCGGTGGACATTTCCTTTTCCTAAATCCCACTCAGAAATGAAAAGAGGCCTATGACTAGCAGTGGGACGTGTATTATATAGGCTGTAACTTTAACTTTAACCAAATATTACCATTTAGGTACCGAAATTTAATATTACTTAAAATGAAATTTCTCTATGGTTCAGAGGTTCAGATGTTCTGACGCTCACAATTAAATAAGAACAGATAGAGTGATCTTGTCATCAAATTAAAAATAAAGTTGTTGGTATCAAATGATAGATAGGCATCAAAAAATTTATACAATGAGTAACCTAAGTTCGGTTATTTTTTAATAAACATTTACTTGTTTATTTATAAAGCCACAAAAGAATAAATATATTTTAATGAACCCGCGACCAACCAACAAAGATAGTCGTGGAGTGATTGCGCGTTCCTCATAAAATAATAAAAAGCGTTATCTACCGCATGTTCATAAGAATATAAAGTGTAATCAGGGCTAACGGAGAGGACACACAATATTAGGTAGATATACATATAGAAAATTCTTTACTGCACAAATATTTTAACATAGTGCTATAATTGCATTTTCTTTCAGCTTCCTTTGTGGTGCGAGTTACAGGTCGAACAATAATAAAACAAACAATATATTTAGGTTAATTGACAAATATTCATAAAAAATATAAAATAACGTACAAACAGATGTATATATTTATAGGTTTATATAAAATATATAGGTACATACATAGAATAAATAGACAACATAAACATAATGTACGATACATTATTAACAGGTATATTTCTATTTGAACAGAAAGGATTTGAAAAGTATTTGAAGTGTGTAAAGATATAAGCTATTATTTGGAATTATTAGGTTAGTACCTCTCAACTTTAAGTTTGAAAAAATTAATTGAAGACACTTCCTTCATGTCAAGAAGAAGATTATTCTCGTGTTATTCATAAAACTGTAAAGGAATCTGATAATTATATAGATTTATAGACTGTAGAATGGTCTTGAAAATAAAATGGGAAACGAGGGTTATGAACAACACCATACAACGTGATTAGAAGATCAGTATTCCGGCGAAAGCGAATACCAAGCTACTGAATTCTTGAACGAAATTGGGATATAAAATCAACCTTGCGCGGGCCAAAAACAGCGTATACACAGGTTGACCACACGATCAAGTTTAACAGCTCTTCAGTACATCTGAATAGGTGACATGTGATGATGACAAACTCTTTGTTGTGTTGACTAGCGTAAACTTGGTCATCCTGGGTATAAACTGGACCCAATGTTTCAATAAGTGCCTCTGTTTTCATACCTCATTGACTTGCAGAGCCCAGCTTAAATCATCTGTAATCCCAAATTCTTAACCTGCCTAATATAATATTCTAAGTCTATGCCGTTCAGAATGAAATTGGATATATGTCGAAAGGCTGATTAACATGTAATATTTGTACAGGCAACAATTATTACCTGTATTTTAGCAGATACAGCAAGATCGAAATACTTTCTAAAACAGTCTAAAGTAATACATTAAAATCGTTGATGTAGCTTTGCACATCATCACCATACAGGTAATACTCATTGTATCACGTAGATACCCAGATTGTACTTAGACGGAAAAACAGACGTAAATTGTTCCACTCTTTTACTGTACACATTACGAAAGAGTAAGTAAACTATTTGGTTCTAATGCGTAAAATATCGACTACAAAGGGGTGGAGACCAGCCAAACGTCTGTTTATTTAATGCTTGATAGAGGAAAGAAGAATTAATGCACGTAATTCACCGAAATGCATCCTATAGAATAACAGAAACAGAAACAGAAACTTTTTTTATTCAATGTAGATTATAATAAATACTTATTGAAAGTCACTTTTTTCATTTACCACTGGTTCGCAAAAAAACCTCTGTCCTGGAAGAACCAGCAAGAAACCCAGCGGGACTATTTTTTTTTCCAATAATAGCTTACAATCATGTTTACAATTAGCAACATAAACAAATTAGAAATAACTTGGTAGCGATCACCCTTCCCAGGGGTTATTATCATCCATAAATTTCTTAATATTATAATAACCCTTTTTAAACAAACTTAGTTTAATAACATTTTTGAACTTTGTGTATGATAAATTTTGTATATTTTCTGGGATTTTGTTGTAAAAGCGTATATCGCCTCAAGTCGCCACCTCGCCAACTCGCCATCGCCCCAAGAATGAATTACTGACTCGGTGGAGTCGAGTAACCGGTACTACCAGCTTGTGTCTGTTCCTAGTATTTACAGAATGAATATCACTTATTTTCGCAAAACTACTTTTATTTTTGTGTACGTACATTACATTTTCATAAATGTATTGAGAGGCCAGAGTTAAAGTATTAATTTTCTTAAATTTTTGTCTCAGTGACTCTTTTGGTTTTAAACTATATATTGCTCTAATGGCCCTCTTATGTAAAATAAATATAATTTCAGTGTCAGTCGCGTGTCCCCATAGCAAAATACCATACGACTTAATGCTATGGAAATAACTAATGTAAACTATTCTAGCTGTTTCAACATTGGTAAGAGTTTAAATCTTTTTTACAGCATATGCTGCAGAACTAAGTCTGCTAGCTAGTTTTGTTATATGGGGGAGCCATTGAAGCTTTGCGTCCAGTGTGATTCCAAGAAAAATGGTGGTATCAATAAGACTCAGTTCCTTTCCATTTAAAATTACATTAGTATTGACATGTTTAACATTAGGAGTTACGAATTTCATACATTTCGTTTTAGTTCCATACAAATGTAAATTATTAACATTAAACCAATTAACTAACTTAGCTATAGCATTATTTACTTCGTCGTAATATAATAACCGTCGTTTTAATTTGAAAATTAGTGAAGTATCATCAGCAAATAATACTTTATCATGGTTATCCCCTACTATGTAAGGTAAGTCATTAATATATACAAGAAACAGAAAGGGGCCGAGAATTGAGCCCTGCGGCACGCCCATTTGTACGATCGACCCAGAAGAACTCATACTATTAATGACAACTTTTTGCGTTCTGTCACTTAAATATGAAATAATTAATTTAAGAGCATCGCTTCTTACACCGTAGTGTTGAAGTTTCCTGATTAATGTTTCATGGTGAACACAATCGAAGGCTTTGGATAGGTTACAAAACACACCCAAAGCATCCTGTGGCACCCTTGCTAAGTCACACTGAGACGTTCAATAAAAACAGTGAAGTTCGGAGCAACCTCAACCCTTAACAACTGAAGGCGAGCAATATATAAAGATACATTAAAATTATTTTTTAAACGGGTTTTTTGTGAAAAAAATTATAACTATACGCTTGGATACTGATTCTGATAACGCACTTAACGGGAACCACAGGGCTTTTGTTACATGTTATATATATATACATTACAAATATTGGCCCTGGCTGCAATTTCAATTTCCGTAAAGTTTTTATTAGATAGTTGGATCTTTTCGTATCTTAATAAAAAATTTAAAACTAAGCGGTAAAATTTTGGGTTTAGATATGTTGATTGTTCTTGATTCGAACCTATCTTTGATATGCTCGTATCAAGTGTTGGGGATAGTATAAAGGGTTATTTTGCAATAATCGGTCAAATTTGCAGAGAAAGTTCATAAATAAAAGAAGTCAAACATTCTGTCCCTTTTATATTTGAAATTCAAAATGCATGGTAATACATTACTGTACTGTGTATATTACGTTACTGTATATTAGAACAAGTGTACAATTTTGTATTTGTGAGTAGGTACACTTCTAAACTTCTCATTATTCAAATCTACGTCAAATTTAGAAAAAGATGGCGCTATAATATATAAGTAATTTTTATTTACATTATTGATATTTATTTCTTTTTAACTTAAAAATTACTCTAATATCTGTCGATTTGGTTTGTATTTACTTACCGACACAGGTCGCTAGCCCTCATAAAATATGCGGATCGGTCGAGTGTATCCGAATTGTTGCTGTCACCGAGCGATACTATAATAATGTATATATGTATATGTGAAATTGTTAGTTTATTGTTTTAATTGTTATATGTGAGTTTCGTAGTGACAAAAAATTTTCGTGCGCAAATTTCCCTTTGCAAAAAATAACAGACAGTTCTGTATCGGGGAAAAATGCTATGGTCACTTTCCTGCGGGCTACGATCCGTTGGTGACCCGTGTTGTCTATAACCATAATATGAAAATAGGCCGGAATCATATGTTATTAGTTTATATTCATATTATGAAAGCTTAATAATAACTTTCATTGCAGTTAAAATGTCCAAAATTACATTCAAAATAAACGGAAAAAAGTATGAAGGTAAGATTTCATAAATTTTATTCATTAAATATTTACAAATTGAATACTAAAACACAAATAGAATAGCATCACTAACTAACTAACTAACTAACTAACTAGCAACAGCACATCGAATATTTGTTTATAATAAATCATCGATATTTCCTTATGTATTAAATAAGGAAATAATAGTAAAGTACAGCAATGTTACAGCCTATAAATATGTTCTACTGCTGAGCACAGGTGTGTTGCAAAGTCATAATTTTGTTACAAAATAGCGTTGAAGTAAAAAAAAACATTTCAAACATAACTTGATATCATTAATTTTATCATTTTTCGATTTCACATAAATCCTCCTTTTTCGGAAAAATGTAGGCTAGATCACTCCTGGTAGTGCTGTATCAATATTTTCTTAAAGTAACATTATAATCGGAATAGCTAATCCAAAGATAGTAATTGTGTCCTTCCTCTCGGTAGAGAGTAATTGTGTTCTATGGTCTCTACCAAGTCAATGCTGCACGTATATATAGTCATTTCTCAGAGACTCATTGTCGTTTAGTTCACCCACTTTTGAAAAATTATATTTGAGAAATAATTAAATATTTTTCAGTTGATGGAAGATATGGTCCTGATTTCACATTAAACGAATTTATCAGAACAGTAGCAGATTTACGTGGCACTAAATCCATGTGTCATGAAGGAGGATGCGGTGCCTGTGTGGTAGCAGTTCGCATTCCCTCACAACCAACTGGCGAACTGAGAACATATTCTGTCAACTCCGTAAGTCACGTTGAATATACCATTAAATACAATTTCTTAACAATTTTTTTGTAAGGCATAATACAATATATATCTATATATATATATACAGAATGGGGTGCCACTATATGCAATAAATGAAACCACAAGTAATACTAGTCCGTAGAAGTGTAGAAAAATTAAATATTAAATTAAAACCCGTAAAATAAAAAAGTGAAATTTTCAAACAAAATAAATATTAAAATAAATTCAGTAAAAGTGAACACTCTGTTTAGACAACGTACCTTGACCCCTTGGAAGAGTGACAACGTTGCACGCGGGTGGCATGGCGATTGTCGGCACGGCCTATGGTTCGTTGGACAATGTGCGACGAAATAAAAACTTACTCACTAAACTGTTTAGATATTTTACCGCCACTTTTTTATTTCGCGAAAATGGAACTGAACGAAATAAATATTATTGCATATTAGTAGCAAAATTTAATGAAACCATAAATTTTAAAATTTTCAAAATGTCCGCCACGTTCTCGAATGCACAAGTTACATCGCCGCATAATGTTGTCCTGAAGCCTGCTCAACAAATTTCGTTCAGGATCCAGAGCCAGGGCTTTTAATTTGTTAAAGGCGGCAACAATACGATTGCGCAGTTCATCTTCGGTTTCGGAGATCTTTGAGTACACTTCATTTTTAATAAAGCCCCATAAAAAGAAGTCTAGAGGAGTGAGGTCGGGCAATCGAGCTGGCCACCTGCGAGGGCCATAGCGCCCTATCCATTGTTCGCCGAACATGGTGTTAAGTCGCTCTCTCGCGAGGATTACGGAGTGTGGAGGAGCTCCATCTAACTGGAACCATACCCTTTGGTAAGCTGCCACAGACAATCCTTCTAAATATTCTGTTATTGGGCCGTTAAGAATATTGAGAAATTTCTGTGCATTCAGGTTTCCGTCAATAAAAATAGGGCCGATTATTTGATCTCCGTGAATGCCTGCCCAAACATTAATGGAAAAGCGGTATTGATGAGCTGATTCCCTAAATAAATGGGGATTCGTATGGCTCCAGTAACGCATGGATTGTCGGTTCCATATGCCGTTTCGAGTAAACGTGCTTTCATCTGTCCAAAACACATTTGTTAGGAAACGTTGGTCTTGAGACATTTTTTCCAGTACCCAGTGGCAGTAAGATTCTCTAATCGGCTTATCGCGGGGCAGCAGCGCCTGCACCTTAACATATTTATAAGGACGTAGTTTGTTCCTTTTCAGCACTCGGTGTATTGTGCCTCACTCTAAACACACGCCCAGCTTGTCTAAGGCTGCAGGTTGGATTCCGATCGAAATGGTCTAAGACTCGTTGTTCGAACGAGGGTGGAAAGTGATGCGGAGTAACTCCTTCATGAGTGTTGGGCACTATGCGCTGATTTTCCCTGGTTCTTTGGACAGCACCTAGGATTATCCGGACGCTAGTAGGGCAGACGCGAGTTGCGCCGTATCTCTCACTATAAGTACGCAGAGTTAACGCTGAATTTTGGTGGCATTCGCCATACAATAAAACCATGTCTGTATACTCTGCTAAAAATGCTGTTGTCTTAGCATTTTCCGCCGCCAAAACGTATACTCAAAAGTCAAGTAGTGTCAATATCACAGTGAAAATATAATAAAAATAAACGTACTTATAAACACTATTTACACACACAAAGTCAATTAACTAATAAGTGTCTATTTCACCGTAAAAGAATTGTTCGACTAATTGTATTTATCTTACGATAATACGATAATTATCTTACGATAAATAATTGCGATGCGTGTAGGCAGCGAAACACACCTGTATTCTGGGAGAATTGCGCGTGAACTGGAAGCCGAATTTCCAAATTCCAAAATGGCGAAAATAATAAAAGTAATAAATAGGGCGGCCACAAGGTGCAATTATCGTTTATCGATACTTTTCTTTTTACACTCACTTACCTACTACATGCCTTTGAAGTACGCCGCGTGCCTCGTGCCGCTTGTTTATGGACGCCGACAAAAGACACCGCTGTCGATATGTCGCAATACCAATAATTTGCACTGCGTGGCAACGTCGCTTTTTAATGTTCAAGGATTCAAGTTCATTGAATCATTGACTTAGTGACCCAATTCTATAGAGAGTTCAAATTTGCTTAAAATTAAAACTCTACTTTTTGACCTAATTACTGGACCGATTACGTTCATTTTTTGTATATCGTCAGCAAAGGCGATAACAAGTATATGGTTTCATTTATTGCATATATGTGGGACCCCATTCTGTCGTAAAAAAAAATAAAAATAATATATATATATATATATATATATATATATATATATATATAGAGAGAGAGAGAGAGAGAGAGAGAGTGACCGACATAGCCCAAAGGATTAATAAGTTGAAGTAGCAATGGACTGGCAATATAGCTCGAAGAACCGACAACCGATGGCAAAAATGGTCTCTAGTGGTAGTCTCGTACAGGTAGGCGTAGTGTAGGACGACATTCCACCAGATGAATAGACGACCTGGTGAGACATGCAGGTAGTTGATGGATGCAGGTGGCTCAAGATCGTGCTTTGTGACATTCCTTGGGGGAGGCCTTACGAAGGGCTGTAATTAAGATTGTATATAAATTTATATATATTAATTATTTAAGAAAATATATACGTGTTTAATTGAAAATTATTTTTACAGTATTAATCAGTAAAGGCGTATCCCTCACTATATGGAGTGACGACTTAGGGAGATATCCACATGTGATTTTTGAGTTGTTATCAGGAAGATGCTGCTGTCTATTGCCCGTTTCAGTTTCCCTTTCACGCCTCTTATAACACCCACAGGATTATATGGGATAGTGGATATTCTTACACTGCCACTACACAGTAAGTGCTCTACAAATTGTAATTTACTAATAAAGGAAATGTTGAAATTGTTTGTTACACAACGCATTAAGGATCGCTTATGGTAATGAGAATACAACCATAAGTTTTTTGTTAGATTTTATGTATTTACTAGTGATCCGTCCCAGCTACGCAAGGGTGATTTTTGTTTGTCGACAACAGCGCCACCAACATTAGAATGGTTTGTTATCTTTATATATAAAAATAAATACATATAATATATTGTTATATTTTACTTGCTTCTAGTGTCTTGTGTCCATTTTGTCCTGTCATGGATGGGAAGTAATAACTGTGGAAGGCATTGGAAACAGAACCATTGGATTTCATGATATTCAGACCAGATTAGCAAACTTTAATGGGACACAGTGTGGGTTTTGCACGCCTGGTTGGATTATGAGCATGTACAGGTAACCAAAAGTATGATATCATGATACAGTTATATAGACTTGGCTTACGAAGTGACCTAATCGTGGGAAATCGAAGTCATACCACTAGGTACTTCTAACTTTGATTAGCTTCTCAGGGCATCTACGGCCAATGGAGTCCGTGACGGACCACTCTGGGCTCAAATGCTTTTAGATGCTCCTCGATACCACTCGATACCATCGTCTACCGGTCTTTTAGCCTTTACCTCTTCATTTACCCCTTACCTCTAACCCTTAACTATTTGGTGATCATAAAGGCTACCTTTTAAAAATTAATAAGTGAAAAAGTTCATGTGGAAAATATAAAACAAAACTATTTATTTTTATAGCAATAATTTTTAACCATTTATTTCAGTCTGTATAAATCAAAAAATGGAAACCTGAGTACAGAAGAAATAGAAAACTCATTTGCTGGCAACATTTGTAGATGCACAGGGTACAGGTCAATTGCAGATGCATTCAAAACGTTTGCTTCAGATGCCGATCAGGATATCCTGAAAAAACTAGTTGACGTAGAAGACTTATCAAAATTTAAAGCTTGTGGTGTAAAATGCCCTAAGATATGTTCGTATAGAAATATGACACAATGTAAAAAAAATAAAGTTAAATTTCATGCTGAAACTAATACTAATGGTCCATGGTGTATTCTTGGTAATATTAACACTGAAGCTTTAGCAGTGAAAAATAGTGCATTCAAATGGTTTAAAGTATACACTTTAAATGACATATTTAAAATTATTGATCAAGATAAAAATGACTATAAACTAATAGCTGGCAACACAGGACAAGGTAATTAATTCTTTTAAGTGTAATTGTTAAGTGTTTAGTAGGGTTTTTGTCAAATGAGATGTACCTTGAATTGCGACCGGAAGCAGTGTCAAAGGATACAAAGATTGACATCCCCCTACCAAGCGTGGCGATTACCGCAAATCAACACATTTTTTATAAGCTTCTAGGTTGATGCCCTGAAAATCTATCGATGTCAACTCTTAGCTAAATAAAAATATTACTTTTCTTTTATTTTGTTGTATTTTAATTGCTATGGAAATAATAAATTAAAGGAGATGAAATTAAAGGAGTTACATAGGTAAAGGTTTAAACCAGTATAAAGAATCAGATTACCATAATCTTTTTAGTCAATGCAAAATTATACCTATACACGAAAAGGTAAAGTTTACCCTTCTTATAGAAGAATTTTTCCATAAACAGTTAAAAATTGCACATACATGTGAATACACTAAAACTCGCAACTCAGGAAAACCTAAACTAGCCTTACCTAAATACAATAATTTATATGGTAAACGTACCTTAGAATATATGATTCCTAACCTAATTAACCAGCTACCAGTATCTGTAAAATCAGAACTAAATCAAAAAGATATTAAATTAAAATTAAAAAATTACTTTATGGAATGCATTACCACTAATTTAAATTATACATAATATGTTTTAATAAAAACTACTACGATAAGGCCCTAAAACAAGCGCCCTGTATAATATATAGGATCCATGCGCGATGCATTATGTTATAGAAGGCCACGCAATTAACTAAGTGTATTTTTTTTTACTACACCCTCATATTTGATAATGTCGGTGATACCGGTACACGGTAAAGTTTCTGTAAACTTATGATTGTACCGTAACGTAATGTGTAATTAATTAATGTAATAATATATTAAATAAATAAATAATAAATAATAAAACTTCTTCTGGGCTTAGTAAGTAGTACCCCAAAACAGATGCTTCATTTTTGGATTAGGGATATGCAGTTCCTGCAGGTACCTTATAGTCAATGGCTCGATAATACTATGCAATCGTACTTACAATATACAGTCACTAGTCTCATAGAGTAAATGGGGCCCTACACTATATTGTGAAGAGTCAAAATGTGTCGAAAGAGGCACGTATGGCAATTCACAATGCTGTGTTGGTCCCTACTTTAACGTATGGTAGTGAAAGTTGGGTGTGGTAGAAGAAGCACGAGAGTAGTGGTTTGCAAGATGATGTTGTGACCAGGATTAAGAAAGGAATGCTTCGGTGGTTTGGTCATGTGGAAAGAATGGATGAAGAAAGACTGACAAAGAAAATTTATGTTGCAGAAGTGAATGGCAGAGTCGGAAAGGGACGTCCTAGGCGAAAATATATCGACCAAATTGGCGATTTATTAAAAACAGGCCAAATTAGGAGTACCCTTAACCGACGAGCATGTATGCGTAGGTGTATGGATGTGAAGGAGGCGAGAGAGGTGTGTCAGGATCGTGCCAAACGGAAGTCTGTAGTCTCTGCCTACCCCTCTGGGTGACAGGCGTGAGTGTTTATGTATGTATATGTATGTAGTCTATGGCCCTTAATACACACAATACACTACAGGGTCCGCATTCGGTTATAATGTGTAGAGATGTTTCGTTTAGTAGGGAACAAAATCCGCACATTTTTAAATTTCTTTCTCAGAATAGTCATGTCACTCACCACGTTAAATATAATAAGTATGTGAGCGTTACGGGTACGGAGCTATCACCCGAAAAACTTTCTCCTTGAGCTTCGGTTAAATTGAAATTAAAAGTGATTTCGTTTTTCATTTAAAAATTTCTTAGTCCACAGGGGTGACATCATATCATCTCAACCTTCACTTACCATAAAGTCGACTGTGTACTCGTTTGTCACCCTCATTCTATTAAAAAAATATATATATCGATTTAAAATATCAAATTGTCGATACTGAACCAACTAACTGCTCTCTTTAAAACCTATGAATTATTTTACAGGAGTATATCATATAACTGATTATCCTTCAAATATGATTGACATTGCCGATGTTGCTGAAATTAAAGGATATTTATTGGATGTTAATTTAATACTCGGCGCAGGAATGTCATTATCAGAAATGATGGAAGTGTACTTAAAAATATGCTCTGAAAATGAAGACTTCTTATACTTAAAAGAATTTTATGATCATTTAGATTTAGTGGCTCATATTCCTGTAAAAAACGTAAGTTTGAAAGAATATACATAGTAAAATATAGATGGTTTCATGTTACAAATTAGGCAGTGTAGTTCTGGTGAGTGGAGTAAAAGGCAGCTACGACCTATACCCCAATAGTTGGAGATGATCACCTTGTAAGACATGAATCATGTTTTGTGACGTCCTTTGGACAATTTTATGGGTTAGCAGCAGACTGGTCATGATGTATGTAATGATAGTAAGGATTTGAATCGAAAAGAAAAAAAATAACATTTTAGAAGATTTGTTTGAGTTATTTTTAACAGGATCCGAAAAAACATATTCGTCTTCATTTAATATTAACACAAATTGATGTCATGCTACGAAATGTTTCAAAAAATTTATGAATAGTATTTTTTAGATTGGTACTATTGGCGGAAATTTGTTTATGAAGTATTCAAATCGTGAATTTCAGTCAGATATATTTTTACTTCTCGAAACAGTTGGAGCTATGATTACCATTGGTAAGAAAACTTATCTAAGTCAAGCTTCATACATTTGCTTCGTCATAGATTACTTTGTGTATTCTGAGATTTATAGATATACAAAATCCTTTATACTTAAATTGTGAACAGCTAGCAGTACTGCCAGAAAAACAATTATCTCATTAATGGAATTCCTCCAAACCGATATGAAAGGAAAAATTATACTTAATGTCCTATTACCACCAATATCAAAGTATTGCTTAGTGAAAACTTTTAAGGTAAGAAAAAAAACGCTTTACGAACTTTTTATAACAAAATATGTGAAAGCGCACATAGATAAATATACTAAATACTCAATATATACGAGTAAACTCATTTGCGAAAGTTTACAATTTTTAATTTAATTTAAACCTTTATCAATCGTTATTTATTGCCATACATGTTTAATCGACTCAGGGGAAAATTCTCATTCTTTGATTGTGTTTTATTTATTCTATGAATATAATATTTTACGAGTATATTGGGATTGGAAATTTAACCCTTAAAATACATATTGAAATAAATGGCATGGTATTTGCAGATTATGCCTAGATCTCAAAACGCACATGCAATTGTTAATGCTGGATTTATGTTCAATTTTGAAATCAATTCGAGTATAATTAAACAAGTGAAAATCGTGTATGGTGGAATAGCTGCTAATTTTGTTCATGCTCAAAAAACAGAAGAAATTCTAGTGGGAAAAGATCTCTTTACTAATGAAACGTTACAAGTAGCACTAAGTACTTTATCTATGGAATTAAATCCAGATGAATCACCGCCAGAGCCACGTGCTGCTTTTAGAAAAATACTGGCAACAGCTCTCTATTACAAGGTAACTGAAATACTTATTAAAATAATTTTAGATTTAATGATTGCGAAACAATATAAAACTGCAGTTTTAATTTGTAGGAAAGTACTAATAAGAAAAATACTAATACGAACCCATCGTATTAGTATTTTGTTTTAACAAATTTATATATATTTATATAACTTGTGGTACACAAGCACATAGTCCATTTGGATGCTGTGTGGATTTTGTGGCTCTTGAAGACTTACTGACTTATCTTCGACTAAGATAGAATACCTCATTATCACTAATAAGAATTCCCGGTTCCCGTGACTCAAGATGAAACACGGTATAATCATGCTGATATTTTACACCAGTAACTGTGAAAGCGTGGTGCTTGCCTGATCAAGCCGACAAATTTATATTGCAGCTGTATTACACAGCTGAAGTATAGTTTAGTCATGTATCAATATTCACGCTAAGTTTAGAGCTTGATGGCAAATCAAACTGCTTTAGCGCAATAAAAGTCCATTCTTTTTTGCCTTTAAGACACCCTGATTGTTATAGGATAAAAAAACGGACCCTGATAAATAATTCTACTTCTTTGCTGTACGCATTACGAAAGATGAAGTCAAACCGAAAGTTTACTTTGAATGCGTGAAATTTTAACTACAAAGGAAGACTCACATACTATCTGGTTGTCTGGTGATGTAATAGAGAGGGAGGAATAAAGCCATTTAATTTCTACGCTCATTAATATCCCAATAGCGATAAATACACTTGTACGTAGTTCAAAAGTTATTTGGACTTTAGTAAAATTTTGTCATAATCAAATTTTAGCTTAAACTTTGCAATTGCAGCCAAACTTTTAGGTCTGCGACAGCTTTTTTGTCAAACATGATAAACTTTGTTTTATAAAATCCCAAATAAAAAAAATTACAGTAATATTTTTTACAAAATATTACACTTTGAAAAAAATATTACTATAGTTTTTTTGCACTTGTTTTCTATGATTCTAAAACAAATATATGACATATTATTTTTTTCAACAACCTATCTTAAAAATTACTGGCTTTCATGAAGAATTAACCTCAAAAATTTCATTGGGCACCCGTTCCTGGAGTATAAGTGACATTCGCTTTAGAAAAAATGCATTTAAAATAACGTCTACCGCCATTTGACGTCCACATACTGGACGCCACTTTTTTTAACGCTTGCACTTGCCTCCTCACGATCTTTGTTATATGTAGAACAAAAATCGAAGAATGTCAAAAATTCACTCCCATTAACTTACAGAAGGTTCCGCTACTATTTACGTACTTTTATTGCGCTAAAGCAGTTTGATTTGCCATCAAGCTCTAAACTTAGCGTGAATATTGATAGTTCTCAAGTTTTAATGTTTCTTTTTACTTATTTACCTCTTAATAGACTGCAATAATGGACAAAGGATATAATATTTTGGCAAGCTTTCAGTAGCTAAATAAAAACGCACTACGCGGCAAACGTCCCGATACCATCCACACCATCTGGATGCTTGGCGGTCCACCACTGTACGTTTCAAAAGGAGTTTTCTTCCGCGTACAACCTCTCTGTGGAATAGTTTACCACCGGCGATTTTTCTGGACCGATACAACCTGGGGACCTTCAAGAAAAGAGCTTACTCCTTTCTAAAGGGCCAGCAACGCACCTGCAATTCCCCTGGTGTTGCGGTTGATCATGGGCGGCGGTAGTCACTTAACATCAGATGAGCCGTATGCTCGGTTGCTCTTCTATAAAAAATAAATAAATAATTGAATCTCGCTAGCTATAAAATATACGGACGTTCTATACCAATTTTCTTAGAGTGCTCAATCAAAGGAGGTTGGGTTCCGGGTAAGACAAGAAACAGATATGCGGAGTATATTCCGTGGAAAGTACCTTATATACAACACAAAAATATGTAAGCACTTAAAATTTACTAACTCTAAAATTATGCATTTACTACAAAAAATAAAATTGCTACGGAATTATAATGTGACCATAACAAGTATTAGTAGGTTGTTCTAAGGGATGATCAAGCTCAATTCATAGAAACAAAAAATAAAAAATATTAAAGCATAAAATTAACCACAATTTTTTGTAATAACACAAAAATATGTAAGCACTTAAAATTTTACTAACACTAAAACTACGCATTTACTACAAAAAATTAAATTGCTATTGCGGAAAACAATGTTATAGGAAAATTAAATACCTCAAAAGAAATCAAGAAAACTAAGCAATATCCGTAGAGAGATGGTAAAAAATGTTAACAGAATGTGGGGACGTCGAAACGTTACACTACGTGCATTATATCAAAAGTGTTGCTGAATATTTATAAAGACTAATATTCCATTTATCACATTTTTTTTTTTATTAACAGGCAGTTTTATACTTATGTCCTGAGAATAAATTAAATCCGGCTTTAAAATCAGGAGGCAAGGCACTTAAGAGGATAAGATCAAAAGGAAGTCAAGTTTTTGATACCGATAAAAGCGTATGGCCGTTAAATAAACCAGTTCCTAAACTAGAAGCTTTAGCACAATGCAGTGGCGAAGCAAGTTTTTCAAATGATTTTCCAAAGCAAGTCGATGAAGTATTTGGATCATTTGTTACCGCTGATGTGAACCCAGGCAGTATTTTAGGTGACTTCGACACGACCGAAGCATTTGTAAGAATTTACAAACTATATTTTTTATCGACATGTCACAGAGTTGTTTAAACATTATGAATATATCTTTTTTATAGAAAATACCTGGTGTTATCGCATTTTATACTGCCAAAGATATTCCTGGCGAAAATTCATTCATACCCTCAAATATTCCCATTTTATCTCAAAATGAAGAAATTCTGTGCTCCAAAGAAGTAAAATTTTACGGTCAACCAGCTGGTATTATTGTAGCGGATAGACAAAAAACTTCGAATAAGGCAGCTAGACTCGTAAAAGTAAATTATGTTTCAATAAACAATAATAAACCCTTACTAAACATTGATGACGTTTTGAAATCAAATGAAAAGGAAAAAAGAATTAAAACAGATCAAATTGTTGAACCAACTGATAAAGGCAATGAAGTAAAATCTGTCCTTTATGGGAATATTAATTTTGAAACACAATATCATTATTACTTTGAGCCTCAAACATGTGTCGTGACTCCTACTGAAGATGGACTAGCAGTATACTCATCTACACAATGGCTTGATGTTACAAATGTAGCAGTTGCACAATGTTTAAATATACCAGTTAATAGGTAAATTACAAAAATAAACGTTGTACAATAAACAATTTCAGAAATTTATTTAATTAATTATGAAATAACAAAATTCCAGTATCAATGTAATCGTGCGTCGTGTAGGTGGATCATATGGGGGTAAAATAACTCGATCAAGTCAAATTGCATGTGCAGCAGCTATAGTATCACATTTACTTGGAAAAACTTGTAGATTCATACTATCGTTAATGGATAATATGAAGATTATTGGGAAACGAATACCAACCAAATGCAATTTCGAAGTGAGTTAAAGTGTAAGATTTGTTTGTGCAATTTTTGAAACTTGCTCCGATATAATTAAAAATATTTTACACAGGTCGCAATTAACAATGAAGGAGTTATACAATATTTAAAAAATGAATTCTATCAAGACAATGGTTTTTCGTGGAATGATACTATCACATTTTTAACACTTCATCATTTTCGTAGTTGCTATGATACAAGTAGGTGGTATATCAAAGCTAATAGTCTCATTACTGATACTCCTTCTAATACATGGTGTAGATCACCCGGTAAGTAGAAAACTATAACTTTAAATAATAATGTTCTCTACAAATATACTAAAATATATTGTGTAATAAAGAACAGTGTTTCGTACGAAATTAATCATCGTAATTAATAATTTTAAGTATATAGAAAATCATCGCTTCAAATAAAATTTAACATTATGTTGTAGCTAGTGGGAGTTGAATTCGGCTTGACTACTCGTTATAAAATTAAAGACAAGCACTTATCTGAGCTAGTAAAAAAATCTTATTTAATATAATTTTATTAAAAGCACCTGTAACAAAACAGTGGTCAAATATTTTACGTAACATATATTTCAGGCTCAACGGAAGGAATTGCAATGATAGAATATATCATGGAACAAATTTCGCACCATACGGGTAAAGACCCGATTGATATCCGACTTTTGAATATGATTAAAGAAAATAATCCCATTCCCGAATTGATAGAACAACTGAAGGTCGATTCCAATTATGAAATCAGACTGGCAGATGTAAAAAACTTTAATAAAAATAACCGCTGGAAGAAACGCGCCATTAAGTTAATGCCGATGACTTATGAAATATTTTACATTGGGCCATATAATGCCATTGTATCAATATATCACGCTGATGGTTCTGTTGTTATTATCCATGGTGGTATAGAAATGGGCCAGGGGCTCAATACAAAAGCAGCGCAGGTCTGCGCTTATATTTTGGGCATACCTCTTGAGAAAGTAAGCGTTAAGCCCAGTAGTAGCTTCACATCGCCAAACGTAATGACTACTGGAGGTAGCGTTGGAAGTGAATGCATTTCGTTTGCAGTTATAAAGGCTTGTAAAATTATTTTAGAGAGATTGCAACCAATAAAAGAGAAAAATAAAAACGCCAGTTGGAATGAAATAGTACAAGAGGCTTACCTTTCAGGTATTTGTTTACAGGCGTCACATACATATTCAACATCAGATCCTTTAGCCCCATATGATATTTATGGTATCGTTGCTCTAGAGCTCGAGCTTGATATACTAACTGGAAACCATGATATTCTCAGAGTAGATTTACTTGAAGATACTGGTAGAAGCTTAAGCCCCGAAATTGATGTTGGACAGGTAAATACAGAAAACACTTGGATTTTATTTACAAGCTAGGGTGACAAATGACAACAGTCCACCTGATGATAGCCTCGTTAGGGGTAAAGAAATCTCCGATCCATATCCGTCAGTCCAAATACGAAATACACCAGCAATATACTGCCATTTTACTCCAGTATGCTACAGTCATAACAGTTATGGTTCTACCATGTAAAAGATTATATAAAACTATTATCGCCGTGTGATGGTGGTGCAAGAGAATCAATCTCTTCATTTTATCCCACGGGTGTCGTTTAAGAATCATAGTTAAATACAAAAACAACACAATAAATAATTGTGTAACATATTTAAAATAACTGGTCAGATGACAGAAAATAACGCCAAAGTTTGCACCATATCTGTCATGAAACATCGTCATTCATCGAAATGATGTCGTCTATACCAAGATTCACGTTAGCCAGTTTCACTGTTCCCTTCTTCTTCCTGTTCCCGTACTGTCATAGTTCAATGAAACGACAATCGGACACCACCGGAGAGAGACGATTGAAGTGATGTTCTATCATCATCATCACCATCCTTACAGCCCTTCACAAGTCCACTGCTGAACATAGGCCTCCCCCAAGTAATACCACAAAGCACGGCCCTGAGCCACCTGCATCCATCGATTCCTGCATGTCTTACCAGGTCGTCACTCCATCTAGTGGGGGGTCGCCCTACACTACGCCTACCGGTACGAGGCTGCCACTCAAGAACCTTTCTTCCCCATCGGTTATCGGTTCTTCGAGCTATATGGCCGGCCCATTGCCACTTCAGCTTACTAATCCGTTGGGTTATGTCGGTCACTCTGGTTTTACTGCGGATATCCTCATTTCTGAGTCTATCATGCAGAGAAACTCCGAGCATAGCCCCGTTCTAAGAATATATTATTTTTATGTATATATAGCAAACACACTTTTTTATTTCGCTGTTATTTAAGGAACCTTATAATTATTTTCTGTCTTTAGTAATGTGTCATCATCAAAATTCATGAACTAAATTCGGAAACCTTTCAATAACTATGCAGAAAACTTTAATAGAAATTAAACTTCGAAGAGGAGCTGCTCATTTCAATATTTTTTATTCATTTAGATTGAAGGAGCTTTTGTTATGGGTTTGGGCTATTGGACTTCTGAAAAAATTGTCTACGAGCCAGCAACCGGAAGAATTTTAACTGATCGTACTTGGACTTACAAACCGCCAGGTTTAAAAGATATCCCTGCTGATTTTAGAATCTACTTTAGAAGAAATTCTAAGAATGAACTTGGTGTTCTCCAGTCGAAAGGTGTATTTTTTATTCCTATTAAATTTTAAGCACAAAATTTTATAATAATAATTACTGAAGAAAACTAAAACGTGGCTTCGAATATCATGGAAAGTCTAGTTAAAATTTATATGGGTAAGGGAGTTGAATTGTATACTTTATCTTTAAATAATACTCTTGAAGATACGTT